AATGACTCAACGTGTTTCGCCCAAGAGTCAAGCAAGAACAACGCGCTCCGCAGCGTAGCCGCGACGCAACCGCCAAACGAGCGCAATTGTTCACATTGGCGTTTAAGTTCTTCTTCGTGGTTGTTGAAAATATAAGCGACAATATGTGCGTCCAAATTGCGCGAGCACAAGTTGTCGTTAGGTGTGTTGTAGGGTGATTTATGTCTAACAGCTGATTGAAGTGTTTCTGATACGAAATTGCTCTGTCCTTTATGTACATATATTTGCTCGCTTATTATTACCGTCTTATTCATTACTTGAATTTAACTTTATCATTTCTTATTGTTATATGTTTCATAGCTATGTATTCGAATAGCTGTTAGGTTTGGTTCGCTAAATGCTGTTTTTGCCACAGTTGCTGATGAGTGCTGCTATTACAATGTTACTGTATAGGAGAACACAACAGTACTAAATATATGGGGTGATAACTGTGGCAGTAGACAGTAGTTAACGATGCGAAACCTTTGAAAACATTATGTGTGCTAGAATTTTTGCGGGAATTTTGTTTTACTGTCTATGTGGATGTCGTAGTATGCATACCATTGTAGTTGCATTGATCAGTGACACTATTGACTGCTCTTGGTTTAGGCTTGGCCACCAAGCGAATCACTTCTATTCTTCTTTCTTTCCATTCATCTTGTTTTTGCTCCCGAACGAGGCGACTCCTGATCGAATATGGTATGTTTTCCTTAATGATATGTTTTTATCATATTGTTTAATATGGTTGGATAACATGAAACACTGTCTCCTGAGCCTACATCCTGGAAAAGATGCTGGTTGAGATCTGTGGGTGTTCATTAACATCATACCGAAGAAGTATGACGGAACGGAGATATGGCCTGAGAAATATGTGGAGGAGGTTGATACAAAATTTTTTCATCTTTTCCTTCACATAATAGGCAAAAGTTAAGGAGGGGCTGGAGGGGGTGGAATCCACGCTGGACGCGAGGCACGCGGCTGCTGTTGATGAACCGCAACTAATTCTCCAGTAGGTTCAGTGTACGCTGCAGAAGATGTCGAAATGGTCGAGAAATACAGTCGAAAAGATTACATTACATGCCAAAAAAGCACCTCCATAGGTCAGGTCACCTGAGGCACCCTTATTAGCTTAAAGTCGGCTTACGACTAAGCCTTCCCAATCATCGGCTCAACCACAAGACAAGGTGTTAACATAAGCCTGAGCGTAAGCCTAAACCCAAGCTTTACCTTGGGCCCCGATGATCGCGCAGCTCTGGTGACCTTACCCCGAGGAGGAGCATAAAAAGCTTTATTCAGATATCTGAATACGTACCAAGAGAAAGCGACTCGGACCCCAGCTCCGTTGAAACATCGAGATTCTTAGGACAGACGGAACAAGCAGATTTACAAAAGTACTACCTTGTGAAAGGAAAGTAACTGATGAAGCTGTTTCGTTTGTTGACCGGAATTTGGATACGAGCTTGGTAGTACACCCGTTGAACCTGCAGCTGTAGTTCGATGTGTGCGGGTCTCCAAAACCAACCACCGGAAAGCGGTGGGAAAGCACGCTCCCCAATGAGAAAGGAAGCTCAAGGGTAACGTTGTTGCGGCGGTAGCGGCCATCGCGGCAGGCCTGCGTTATGTGGTCAGTGTTTCAAATGGTTAGAGCGGAAGGAGCGTGGACCTACTTATTTACAGGTGCTGGCAAGGTGGGCTGAGCACGCCAATATAGCTGTATATTTAAAGATCTTCTATTGGAAGGTTTTTCAATGGACGAAGCCGGCTATTGAACCGTCTACCGCTCGCAACAACGCCTTGTTCTGGAAAGGATGACGAGGGAGTATAAGATACTGCAATATTCTCTTGACACTTTCAGAAGCCAGTCAGTTGTCATCTGCCACTCTCAAGAAGGCGAGCTACTCCATCTGGCAGCCGACGGTGCTTACGACAGCCGTGGTTATTCCGCCTTGATTTGTAAGGTCGTGCTGTCAGAAATGAGTACTAAGCTGATTCTCCACTGTGAGGTGCTCCACAGATCGGAGACGGGTGAGACGCGTATGACTCAGTGATAGTAGACCGACAATAGTACAATAAAGTACTTTGCAGAGAACATTAGTATTTCATTAGATTCTGAAAACATCAAACAACAGTGTTGAGCGATTATGTACCAGTGGCGGCGTGCATGAGTTTGCGACGTAATTGCACAATTACACTTCGCTCTCTCTACTTCCACTTATGTTTTGTACTTATTCTGTAATTCCAATTCTAATTCCCTCCATAATGTCATATTTGCATTCCTATTTTCAGTGAACATCATCTACTGCTCATATTAGATTTCGCAGAGCGACAGTTCCATTTCAGACTCATTTGCTTGCTTTTCTGGAGTGTTTCTGATCCAAGTTTTCTTGGTGATGGTTTCTATGCAGGATCGAAACAGACTTTAATGATTTGATACATGTTCGGCTCTTCAATGTCACTTGATCTCAGTTCAAGTTTATGTAAATCTTAATGTAAGTCCATTTCGGATTCATTCGCATGCTTCTTTTGAACTGTTTTTTTTTCAGTAAGACTCCCTTGTATTTCTACCGTTCGATCACAGACAACTTCGTTACGTTGAATAATCCGCTTATCTACTCGTGAAAGATAGTGAATTGGCTGCAGAGAAGGTTGGCAAGAGAAAACTAAAGAAAAAACGAAATGCAGAAATCAGCTGGCTGATTCTCGGCGTGGTGCCAGCAATGATCGGCATATCTGGGAAACTCTTCCGCTTACAATCATGTCCAACCTAAGGCGGATTGATGCTGAAAGAGTACATTCTTCAAGCGATGAGGGGAGCAATGTCGCCGCGGGCGCTGCAGGGCCTACGAATCGTGCTGGATTTTGAGAGGGCTGCCATAAACGCAGCCAGGGGGTATTCCCGAGCGCATCAGTGGAAGGGTGTGCGTTTCATCTAGCACAAGGCGTGGAATCGGAGAAGAGATGCGCTCGGGCTGCGCCAGTACGTTCGAGGGGACTCAACGGTGCACGAAAATTCAATCATGGTGGAGAACTATAAAAGGAGTCGTGTTTCTCCCATCTCATCTGCACCGAAAAGTCCCGGCCCTGTGGTGCCCCCTGTCCCACGAAACCACGAAGCATACGACAGATGTCGTATGTTCCTTGAGTACCTGTATACCACATGGTATGCAGGGCAATTCAAGGATCTCTGGTTCAAGTGGGACATTCCGGAATTACGAACATCCAACATTGCAGAGGCGTTTAATAGGCAAGTCATTGTAACGGCAGACTTAGGTCCGTAACCTTCTAATTATTCCTACTGATTCAGGCTGTTGGGCGGAGTAGTCGGTGTGAGGTATCCACGTATGGACAAACTTCTTCTGGACCTTCAAGGCTGCACTTCCATAGCAAATGCCAGACTACTCAATGTGGAAGAGGTTTATTTTTTATACAGAATTGAAGCTGAGTATAGTAATGAAGCTTTGCAGAGAAGAAGCGACGGGAAACGACTGCACAAAAAGGACATCCTTGCGCAGGCGCCGTGTGGAAAAGGAGATGAACCGATTCAAGCTCTTCATGGGTGAGAGTCGGGGATTCTTACGCACGGTCAGCATTACCACCTACTGCCGCAGGATGTCACGCTCCGTGACAGAAAAAGTGGTCTAGATTTTTCGAGGACGAATTGTATTGTATTACCAACAGATCATTATCATATCATTACTAGAATAAAAACGTTCCAATATGTTCTCTTCTAGTTTGGGGAAGAAGATTCCTTTCAAAACCTGTGTATTTCACCCTCTTCCACATCATTTTGAAGAAAGGAGCACATACATTCATACGTGGTAAACAACGACACATATGTACCTGTTAAGTACAACATGAACGTGTTAAACATGTGAAACGTGACATAGCTCCAATAACTTATAATAATGGACATGGGATCATGCTTTGCCATGAACTAAGAAAACGGCGCTGTGATACGATTGTCTAGCATCCAATAAATCGCGTCGTATCGATTCTATAAAGTTTTGGCAAAAAGCCAGCTGCCCACTGCCGTTGCAGGCGGGCTGCTCGACTGTCACATCGCTGTTGCCGCGGCCATTGACCAACGGTCGCCGCGCGCGGCGAGCCGACCTGACACAATCGGGAGGCCTGATATATACCCATCGGCACTATCCATGAGGAAGATAACAACTCACGCGAAGAATTTCCTGTTTAAGCATTATCCTATAGTTGTTATAATTATGTAATAGCAAGCGTCCCTCGCTAATAAGTCGCCTTAGGTATTGGCATTGGGCCGCAGCAGGTTTGATTCACAATCTGAAAAACTGCTTTTCTTTGAAGTCAACTACATTCCAGACAATTATCTCAATTAGTATACAAGTGTGCGCGCTGAGACGACAAGTCTTTACATAGGCTTTCCTCTCAGGAATCTTCACAAGTTCTGGATTGAAGAATTGTTGGACGTTCGTTTTCATCTGTTGGCGAAAACTGTAGTATGCAGTCCCATAATTACCCTGAATTTCTTGCTGCAAAATTTCACAGGGAAATTTCCAAGAAGTGGAACATGTCCATAAAAGTGGCATCCACACTGGCCTGCCTGAAAAATTGACCAGTTCTTCTGCACCGTGCCTTCCGCCGCCATTATGTCATTTTTAGAACCTATTCCGGTGCCCCATTTTTATGATTTCCGAAAAAATAAAAATAGCAAAAAAAAACTGAAGTGATTCACTGATTGAGAGGTAACTTGTGGTGGACTCTCGAAAGACCCGATCCCACGATCTTTGAGTGAGAGTCCGGACCACTACCGCTACTCTTTTCGGCTTCATAACTGCTCTGTTCGAAAACTCATTTACAGATTAAGGCAGACCCAAGACCAGCGTTTCAAATCGCTCGTAGGAAAGAGCGTACTACACACAATTTCATAGACCGACAAAATTAGACTTCGGTATATGATTCTTTTTCGATATCCATGCTTTAATTCTATTCACTTAATTAATTCTACATACTACGTAG